TGTGCAGATGTGGCACTGAGGACTGTGGTTAGAGGGCATGGTGGGGGTGGGGAGATGGTTGCATTGGATGATCGTGGTGGTCTTTTCCAACCTTAATGATTTTGTGGTTTGAAGGTGGTGAGGCTCCAAAACCCTCAAGTGTGAGATTCACTGGGGACTGTAGTCAGGAGCAGCACCTTGAGCTGGATGAGCACCTTGAGATGGATGCTGTTCTTTTTTTTACCTTGCAATGCTGTAATGTGATAAAATAAGTAACTATTTTTTAAAATTATGAATTGCTGAGCTTTCAGACTTGCTACAATTTTATTAACTTTCAAGTCCTCCCAAGAAAGGAACCTGCTCTGTTTGTTACACAGATGAAATTACCATATACAGCCACAGCTGGTGCACGCAAGGTAATTCGATGTATGTTAAGGCATAGATGATAACTTCTGCATTGTGAAAGCTGCCTGCTTTGCTCGACTTTTCATCTTTTCCCTTTTGCAGCTGGCCTGTTCCCTCGCAGCAGCGATTGTGCGCTTGGCAGGAGCCCGGCGGAGGTGCTCCAGCAGCTTGCTGATGCAGAATTCTCTTTGCTTTAAATGGGAACGTTATCTGACTTCAGTAAATGTGTGCCATTGGAACACGCTGACTTGCCCGCTCATTTCCAAAGATGAACTTGGTCAGCTGGAGGCAATTCTGGCTTTTCTACCTGGGCAGCACCAGCATGGATACAGATGGGGACAGCCGAGGGCGAGCAGCTATCAACCCCTGCTAACAAACAGCCCGCGTGCATCCAGCCACAGAGAAACCACACTGCAAAGCATGGTCAGATGACCTGCAGTCATCTCGCTGTCTGTCTGAAGGTACAGATACGTGGGAAAGTTATTAAGGGGCTTTCTAATTCCCTACAGTTGTTCACAAGTGGGGATGCTGTAGTCTTGAGGCTATGTATCCAAGAGAGAAATCTTTAGAAACACCGTCATGCCACCACCATGAGCATGCGTTGCCTTCACTCAGTGCTCTTTTCCATTCTCCCTTTTCTTTGGAGCTTCATAACTTGTTTGTTCTGTGATGATGCCTTTCCCCACTCCTATGCTTCACTGTCCCTCCTCAGAACTCCTCTATAAATAGCATTTCCTCACCAGCGCCGAGTGGTTCCGAGCGTGCTGCACATAGGAAGCTCTTTGGGTAGGAATCAAACAAGAGCCTGAATGTCAAAACATTGACTTGCATTGTTTGGGTTATAAACTTTGCCCTGAAGTTGTTATTGTTGGGGTAGGATTGTGACATTAAAACACGGTGCTTGTGGTCGCTGTCAGTAGAACAAACACTGAGCTGTTAAAGAGAACACTGCTCCTTCCTTCCTTTCTCCCTTCCCTGGAGCTGAGCTCTCAGGCAAATAAAGATAGTGGTGAAGCTAAAAATGGTGGGGTAGGTTTAGATTTTGCAAGTGTTTATTTATTTGTTCTTTGATGTGAAAGGATCTGTGATGTGAAAGGAATATGTTGTGTGTAGGATCAAGGGGAACAACTTTTTCTTCTGGAAGCCAGTAGCAGTTGACAACTTAGTAGTGTTATCCCTTAACTTTTTGTATTAATAAATTCTCTAAATTGTTAAGGCTGGAGTTTGGGCACCTTAATCCCTAATCCCACTCCTGTGCCCAGCTCTACGTCACTGCAAACTTAAGAGAGGTGGTGGATGCCCCATCCATAAAGACATTCAAGGTCAGGCTGGATGGGGCTCTGGGCACCTGATCTAACTGTAGGTGGCCCTGTTCACTGCAGGGGAGGGGGACCAGGTGGCCTTTAAAGGTCCCTTCCAATTTGCTGCTCCACTGATGACTCCGTGACGATGACTCCCAGCGGATCCTTTTCTAACTGGAGTTATTCTGTGATGCTCAATCCCATGCCCAACCATGCTGTGGGTTTACTGCTACCTGGGAGGCTCACCCCAAATCACAGCAAATTGCCTTTTGGCTCCAGGCACACCACAGCTGCTGCACGCAGGGTGATGCCATGGGTGATTCCTGGGGCAGAGCCCAAGCATTTGGGATGGGATGCTTGGGAAAGGCTGCACTGGGCAGACAGTGCCCATTTCCTGGGCTCGAATGCATGACAAAACTCATGTTGTAAAGAAAAATTAAACCTAATCAGGCAAAAGAAATCCAGTTAGGAAGGCAGGAAATGTTCCAAGGTAATGAAGTTTGTCTGTGTCGTGGAGCTTTACGACCCTGTTGAGCCTCTGCCCTGGCGCTGGCTTCTATGTTGGAAATAGAAATGTGCTGACAACTGTTTCCTAATAGAAGTTTAAATATGAAGAAGTGATCTTCTTCCTTCTGCAGTACCTTGTTCAGCCTGGAGAGGAGAAGGCTCTGAGGAGACCTCATTACAGCCTTCCTATATTTAAAGAAAGCTTATGAGCAGAGAGAGAGGGACCTTTTTACATGGGTGGATACTGATAGGGCAAAGGGGAATGGCTTTAAACTAAAAGAAGGGAGATTTAGGTCTGATGTTAGGAGGAAATTCTTTACTCAGAGGGTGGTGAGGCACTGGCACTGCTGCTCACAAAAGCTGTGGATGCCCCATCCCTGCAGCTGCTCAAGGCCAGGTTGGATGGGGCCCTGGGCAGCCTGAGCTGCTGGGGGGTGATCAAACCATGGCAGGGGTTGGAAATGGGTGGACTTTGAGCTCCCTTCCAACACAGGCTGTTCTGTATCGTATGTGAGCTGTTTTCCCTCTGCTGGGTGAACGGGCAGAGAGGAGGGGATGACAGTCACACAGCTCCATGACATCTGCAGTAACAAAAGCCCAACAGGTAGAGAGCATTACGGGAAAACATTGTGGATGTTGGTGAAAAAGTGACCTCCTAGAACTTCTAAGGAAGTGAGCGATCGCATTGTAATGCAGGGAACTGAGGCTGGATCAGAGGGAAGTAACTTACACAGGCTGGAGTTCAGAGCAGAGCCCATGGTGTTGTTCAGCTGGGGTGACTGCAGGTGTGGGGGTGCACAGCTGGGATCCTTGAGGGCACAGCCACTGTGAGGGGAGGGACTGAAGCAGGAGCCGGACCACCTCCTTGGTCATGTGCATCCTGTGGGCTTTGGAAACTGGAACTGTGCCCAGCTCTGGGGGTGAAGAGGGTGTTTTAAATTTTCCTTTAAATTCAAATTCAAACCTTCAGCATATGCATTAGCTGCTTTTTTTTTTTTTTTTTTTTCCTCCTCCAGTGCAGCCTCTCAGATCGATGCTCTTCGTCACTGGAAGGGCTGTGTGCAGATGCTCCAAGTCCTGGGTGGCAGTGTGATGCCACCTCCCTTTCAAGCTACTTAGAGCTGCCACTCCTGTAACTGCAGTGGGTGCTGGGAGCTCGAGGTGCCTCTGGATGCCCAGGGCTCTTCATTAATTACAGCTCACAGAAAGTACGAAGACTCACAAATGAAAGAGGAAGTTAAGCTGAACAGCCCTGCATGCCTGCCAGCTGGGTGCTCTCCTGTTCCTCACACCTGTTCAGTTTAATCCTGAAGTTACCTGAGCCTCTTCTGCTTTTATTTCACTGCCTGCAAACAGCAGGAGGTAATTAGGGCCCAGTGGAAAACCTGCAGGCTGAGAAGCAGTGGCTGCCACCCATCTTCTCTTCCAAATCCCTCAAGCTGAGAACACTGTTGACCCTTCAGCTCTGTTTGAAGTGTGGTGTTTCCTCCTCTGGGAGAGGTCACTTTGCTTGGGAAGAGAAAGCCCACATGAAAAATGTGAAAGCAAAGGGTGTGTCCTCATGGAAAGGGTTTGGTTCCATCCAGTCTGAGGACCCTCCTTACCTCAGTGGGAAAGTTATTTATAAGCTGAGAGTCAGCCCTGCAGGAAAGAAATGCTGTGCATCCTGCATGCAAGCAAGGCAGGGGTTGTTTTAGCAGAAGGTGAGGGAAGCAGGGAGAAGCACTGCACTGAAGGCCCGATGAGAGCTCATAGCAGCTTCATTAAGCTTGGTGTATCTGCACCCAGGGGCAGTGCACAAGAAGGCGGCTCAGCTGACAGCCCTGCTGGGGATTCAGCACTTGGGTTCCTGCCCACTCATGCTTGGAGGACTGAGCTGTGGGTCACACATCCATAGCTGCATGAAGATAACAGTTATTGGTGTTATTAGCCATTAAACAGTGACTTTCCTCCTTTAAGGAAGAGACAAGCTACCACAATAACGAATGAAATTCCACTCATTGGTTTTATCTCAATTTAATAGAGGATTTATTGGATTTGTGCAAGACAGTTACTTCTACCATAAAAAGTATCACAGCAACATGTACACACAAAACAAGGTACACAAAACAGAGATAAGGTTATATACAGGTTATTAGCAGCTAAACTCATAGCTTCATATAGCACATGGCTTTACTCACTACAGTTTTAGGCACAGTGAAGAGTTTACCAACTGGATATTTGCTATGGTGAAAGGCTACAACAAGTACCTCATCCACGTGGGCAGAATGAAAAGCTGAGTCCCAATTCCCAGCAGCTGAGGACACAGCCCTACACAAGGCTGAAAGAACACAGTCCAGCTAATTCAGCACAACGCAGCTTTAGGTATTAAACATTAAAATTTACAGAGATACATTTTTGAGTAGGGTTCCATTAGAGAGTCAGTGAATGGGCTGAACTGCAGTGGGACAATGAGTGTCACCTCCCCCCACCTCTCGCTTAGCGTGGATTCTCAGCTGTAAACAACCCAAAGTGAAGAGCTGGCAGGGAATGATTAGATGTGAAGATTGCTCTGTACATCCCTCACATGTATAATGTAAAGTTGTCTTTTAACAGCATTCACAAGCACAGAGGCCATGAAACATTCAGGTTGACTTAGCAGGTTATGTTAATAAATTATGATGCATCAGCCCCGCTTTGTCCACATGAGACTCCATCCCAGGCAGCACTGAAGCAGGTGCTGCAGTGCTTTTCTGTGCTTCCTTTTCTTTCAGATTGAGGACTGTAGACTGAAATCCCAGCAAAATAAGAATGTGATTTCCTTCCAGCATACAAGAAGCCTTCTTTGTTTCAGCAGGACTTCTCACGTTTGATTATGCATGCTTACTGCTCTGCCAGCCTCAGGAATGGGTGCATTTCTTAATTACTGGCTGCTTATGTACAGCATGGCTGTCACAGGGAGGAAAGCGATCACTTACCCAGCAAAAAGGCTGCAAAGAATTACTGAGCAACAGAACCATCCAGATACTGTAACAATGCAATTAAACATTTAAAGCAGCAAGCAGATAAATTAAAAACAACAACAACCAAAATCTTTAACTTATGAGGCAGGTTAACAACTACAGAAAGATTCTTCCTTCACAACAGCTTCATTTGCAAATACAGCTCAGCAGGTTTGAAATACTTTATCACAAGAAATACAAACTTGTTTATCACAGTTATGTCAGAGCTCCTCTAAGAAGGGTGCGGCAGTTTCTATTATTGCCACTCCCCTCCTCCCCTCCAAGGTTTATTACTCAGCTTCTCAGGGAAGAGAGGGGGCTGCTGGGGGCTTCAGAAAGTGCAGAGAATAAAGGAGTTTTCTCCTTTAGAGAGAGTCTGAGAACTCCTACCCGCGTGGGAGGCTGGGGTTTGGCATTGGGGTTTTCAATGGCTGGTTTTGATAGTTTCAGGTATACGAAAAGGAAAGGGAGTTTTACTACAGAAGAGCAGCTTTGCTATATATGCTAAAAAATAAAAATAAAAAATCCCAAAACATACCAGCACACATTTTGGGACCATCATGAAAAGCAAAGGCAAAACACGCTAACATGGACCCTCCAGGAGCAATGTGCTTTTACATCCCACTCTCTCCTGTGACTCCATTTAGCCTGCAGGAATTTTGGCTATAATTTGTTATGTATTGGCAGGGCAGAATCAAATAAGGCTCTGAGCAGAGGGTTGTTAGGTCTGTCAGACTAGAGGAAGAGCAAGTGAGTTTTTTTTTTTTCTTTTTAGAAGTATCAGAATTTACACCTTTGCAGTGTAGCACAGCTGATGCTTGAAAATTAACAGCTTCTTCATGGGAACATCCAGGTGAAAGGTGAAACTTCTGACAGAACCCTCTCACATTTGGTATGGAGTTGACTTGTTCCTATGGCTTCTCATACAGAACAGCTGGGACTGCAGATTGTCAGGAGGCTCTTTGGCTGTCAGTGCAGAAAGCAACACAGGGCGCGTATCCTTGAGGCCTGTCTGGTGCCTTTCACTGGACGCAGATTGTGAGGGCAGGGCCAGGAAGCAGCAGCAGCTGGGAAGGAAGGCAGCTTTGAGCAAAGCAGCAGAGTAATGCAGTCACCCACTCCAAAGCCTAGGCTGCTCCAGTGAGAAGGTCAGAACTGGAGCTGCCCTCTTCAGTTGAGTGGGCACAGAGCGAGGGAGCAGAAGAGTCCACCACCAGAAGGGACTGAAAGCAAAGCCTGATAATACAGACAGCATCACTGAAGTGTCACACTAGTCAGAAATTCCAGTTTTGATACATCTCAAGCTCCCATAACACAGATGTGTGCAAGACAGAGCTCTCGTGGGTTTTTTTTGGCTTTAAAAAGAACAGAAGGAAGATTGTCCATTCAGTTTGCTATGTACACCAATACTGCACTGTACACTTCATTAACAAGCTGTCCTCTGCTACAGTCCAGCTTATTTATTACTTAAATAAAATTCTTCTTAATCACAAAGAACAACAGATGAGTCTTTCTACAGGAAGCAGGGCAGAAACCAACCAATGTACATGGCCTTACACAGTGCCAGTCTGCAACTAACAGCCATGCCGCAGTACAGCATCTCCTTAGCTTGCCTGAAGCAGAAATCTTCCCATATCTCCTTCCAACCTGATCCCAATCCCATCAGGATTGTTCCAGCCCAAAGTCAAGCTGTGACTTCCCCTGCATTGTCACATTCCTATCCAAACTATGCAGTCTCTTTCAGCAGTCCCAGCTTACGCAGTGCCTCTCTCCTCGCTTCTTCTGTTGAGCCACGGCCAGAAAACTTCACTGTTATCCCCTGCGATCGAAATCCTGAAGGTCTGGGTAGCGAACCTGACCTCCTCCTCATATCCAGGGTTAGGTTAGGTTGCTTGTAATCATTAAAACCTTTTGCTGTGTTCTGCTGAGTGACCTTGCTAGCATTAAGAGCTACCTCTGGTTTGATTGTTACAGTTTTGCCCGTAGGAAGGAAAGGGCTGGGCTCACTTTTTAAAGCCTCGTGGATGTTTTGGTATCCATTGGGAACAGCATCTGCCTGCTTGGGCTGCACATCAAGCTGCTGAGTTCCTGGGGCATCATGATCTGCTGGGTCCTGAGCTGACTTTCTCTTAACAAGGCCAAGTTTTGTCAGGGCCTCATAGCGCGTTTGCTCAGAGGAGAGATCCCTTAAGGAAGAACTTCTGTTGCGTGACAAGAAATCATTTTTTTGCTGCCTCTCCTCCAATTCAGTTGCCAGAAATCCCCCATTGATGTTGGCCAGCACCTGAGCTCTCCGCTCCTGTACGTTAACTGCTGCTTTTGAGATAGTCTCATTGAATTCTTTGCCACTGACATTTGTTATATTGATATTGCTTGGAAACCGGTGCAGTTTGGGTGCGGGTGCAGGAGGGTGCTTTGGAGCTGCAAAATAATCACCGTTGGCTACCACAGTTTTCTTCCTGTCAGAATTCCCCTCCTTCAGGGCGCTGGGGAAACGCACCCTGCTCTCCATTTGCTGCTCAGACATCTTCTGGGCCACGATGAGTGGAGTGGGGACAGAGCGAAGCAATTTCGGATGCTGCACTGCAGGAGGAGGTGGAGGAGGGAGAGTCTCACACATCTGTGGTGCTGCTACAGAGGGATGTGGGGGAAGGTCAGCAGGTGCAGCTGGCTCAGGGCTCTCAGTTCTCCGGGTGGCATCCAACACTTAAAAGAAAAAGCAACAATAACCTCATTAAGTCATAGAATCACAGAATGGCCTGGGTTGAAAAGGACCACGACAATCATCTAGTTCAACCCCCCTGCTATGTGCAGGGTCACCAACCACCAGACCAGGCTGCCCAGAGCCACATCCAGCCTGGCCTTGAATGCCTGCAGGGATGGGGCATCCACAGCCTTCCTGGGCAACCAGTGTGTTACCATCCAAGTCCCCACACAGAGCAGAACACAAGGGCTTTCTTTCACCAAGAGTCAGCACACATCAGTACCACCTCACCCAAACTTTCTAACAACTCAGCCCATCTCGCCTATAACTGAACCACAAGCAGTAACATCTCATAGAGGATCTTAGAGTTCAAATCATTGTGTTGCCCTCCTCCCACCATTCACTCTGCATGCTGGCTTTACTGTGTTTCAAAAGGCTTCTGTAGATTTTGCGCATCCTGATTTTTGATCAATTTTTTTTTATTATTATTATTTTTTAATTTAATTTAATTAATTTATTTATTTATAGTCACAGCTAGGTCAAAAGGAAACATTTTCAGGAAATACTGCTACCTGGTTCTGCATCTTTGCTGGGAGGGCCTTCATGGTCACTGCTTTCAGGTGTTGACTGCACTAAGTCAATGATATCTTCAGTCTCTGAATGACTGGACACATTTTCTTCTGTTGACCTTGGAGACTGACAGTGGATGCCACTGTCACGTAGGACTGGTTCCTCCAAGTCATCTTCTAAGGCATCTATGGTTTCCTCAAAGAAAGTGAGAACATCCTGCTCTTCATGAGTTAAGTACTTCATACTCTCATCATCCTACACGGGAAAAAAAAAAAAAGGAATAAACATTAATCTTAATACCCTGCAGATAAGCACACAGAATTACACCAATAAGTACAGAACCCTGGTTTGAAAGAGGAAAAGCAGCAGAACGCAACAGGCAGTGGTCTCATGAGAAGGATCTCCTGCTTGCTGTGCCATACCTTCCCAAAGAGGGATCCAATCACACAGCTCACAGTGCATTCATGTTGGCAGAAGAGCAGCAATTGGTTTTTCATCCTTTCTGAAGTGCCTAACTTCAACTCAGCAGACTGGTGTCCTTTTGAGTTGGACTAAGGAAACTGCTAACAAGATCACAACAGCTGATTACAAACTAAACCAAACCACACAGCACTGTGCCTTTACTCATGCTGAGGACCATCTTCTAACCCCAGAATGGAGTTGCCATTTCAGTCACTGTGTCAGGTTCAGGGATGAGGGCTGGGAGCTGCAGAGAGAAAGGATACATTCAGGACAGATGGGTTTGTTCCCTTTCTGCTCTAGAGCAAATTGGGAGGACCTGGATGTTAGGAAGGCAGAGCTGGAGCTGAAATATGGCTCCACCACTGCAAACTGAGTTATCCTGAATGCAATCATAGATTACAGAGGAGAAGTAAGAAGAAGGGAAAAGGTTTCTGGAAACCTCTTGAGTTATGGAAAGAAAGAAATTAGACTACTGTGAGGATGTGTTCCCTAGCAGTAAAAGGCCTTGGGCTATTCTGTCCAGCAGGAAACAATCCTGTAGACCACAAAACTGATAAATAATCACTTCAATCATCTAATCCTTCTTTTCTGTGAGTCAGTGCTCCTGATTAACTAAACATCACCATGAGAAGCGAGGCAGCAACGTGCAAACTCTTACCTCCACCCTGGGAAACATTTTTCCAGAAGCCTGGAGATGACCAAGAATGATTAAGAAAGGCAACACATGAAGACAATGGATACAGGAAGGACATTTCCCAAGAGAGCTAAGTAAGTTCTGGAATGTAATTAAGCATTGTTGGGAAGTGAGGTTTTCCCTTTCTGGAAGGAATTTCTCTCCCACTATGCGTATATTGTGAATTTTGCCACCAGTAACTTAGGAAAAAAGCACCAGTAAAGCAATTAAAGATGGATTCCTTTCTCTTCTCTGCTTTCGACTTCTCCAAGGATGTATGGCTGTTCATGCATGTAACAAGGCTACTTCAGTTCAGGGGAATTCAGGCACGAAGCTAAAGGCAGGCATTACAAATACTGAAGACTCTTCTTGCTGGAGCAACAGAAAGTGCTTCAAACTCACAGTGCACATTCAGGCCTTATATTAGAATAGGGAAAAAAAAAAAGCAACTGTTCAGTTCAACCTGTTAACTCCTACTGCAAACAATGCTTTTACCCTCATATCTGGCATTAAATACAGGAACAATGTACCTCTGTAGAAAAAGAATGCCCACAGATTAAGAACTATGAAACACTGCATTGTATCAAGGAGCAATTAGTTTCCAAGCACTTCAAACAGTACAGGATGAGAAAAATAAGTGCTTCAAGGGCTCTTCACTGCATTCCCCTGTAAATAAAGGCATGAAACACAGAAGACTCCAGCAGAACTGCTACAACAGCTTGAAGCTGGATGCCATTTGCAGCTGCCTATTTAGAGCACTAACTTCAAAGGCTAACATATTCCACAGCCTGCACTCACTGCATGGCAAAGCTCAGTTTTCAAAGTCCAAGGAAAGTTTTACAGCTGAACTTGAGTAGTGAGAGACAGACAAACCTTCCCTTTTTTTTTCCTCCCCTTTATGGATGTTGCAATCTCCTTCCTTCCCCACCCAAATACTCATAGGGCTGCTATGTCTAGAAGTGAGAGAATGACAGGAAAGGAGCTGTTGTTTGGTAGGTGGTAGCTCCAGCCCAACAGGACTCCCAGAAGCTTTTGTTGTGGGTGAGCTCATCGCAAGAACCAGACATCCGCAGGCAAAGGAAAAAAAAAAAAAAAGGCTTTTTGGTTTAAGAGGTTCATGGTGGCAGCAGATCCAGTGTGTGGTACTACATGAAACAAGTACCCATCCCTTTACAAATACATCTGCAGTACATGGCATACCTAGATTTGTTGGAATAGGTCCAGAGGATGATGATGAGAGGGCTGGAGCACCTCCCCTACAAGGACAGGTTGAGAGAGCTGGGGCTTTTCAGCCTGGACAAGAGAAGGCTGCAGAAGAACATTATAGCAGCCTTCCAGTACCTGAAGGGCTTACAGGAAAGCTGGGGAGGAACTTTTTTTATAAGGACATGTAGTGACCTTACAAGGGGAAATGGCTTTAAACTGGAAGAGGGTAGATTTAGACTAGATATTAGGAAGTTTTGGTTTTTTTTTTTTTCCTGTGATGGTGGTGAGACACTGGAACACGGTGCCCAGAGAGGTTGTGGATGCCCCTCCCCTGGAAGCATTCAAGGCCAGGGTGGATGGGGCTTTGAGCAACCTGGTCTAGGAGGACGTGTCCCATATAGCAGGGGGTTGGAACTAGATGATCTGAAAGGTCCTTTCCAACCTAAACCATTCCATGAGTCTATTCTTTGAAAAGCCAACCTCATCTCAGTTAGCACTTTCATCTCTTTCTTCATACAGCTTCCTTTACAGATGACCAATGTCATTTCAGACAGCAGAAATAGAAATATAGAGGATGAACAGTATTATTTCTTCAGGTAAGGCAAGTTTCAGTTCTAAGCTAGCAATAATTCCATTCTAGACATGCCACCATAGCAAAGATAATTAAGATAAATCTACCAGTGACTCAGGTTGGTCAAAGCAAAGGAGCTCAGAGATGCAATTGCAGCCCCTGGTCTGAGAACAGCAGCGTACTGTAGGCAATACAAGTGGGTACCTTATACTACAGTAGAGCTTTCAGAAAGATGGGAAGAATTTTGTTGTGGTTAAGTGGTGCCAGCTATGATTAAGGCTACCAGGTCTAGTTCTAATTAGTTTATTTTCCACGTATTCCAAATAATGGAACAGTTCATATTCTTTCTGGACTGGTTTTCCAGGCCTCATTTCTCCTTGAATAATCTGGGCTTGTAACAGTCCAAGAAGAATCTCTCCAGTTACTCAAGATATTCCATCATTCTTTCCAGTAACTCACAACTCAATACATAAAGACACCTCCCCAAACCAAGTCTCACACACACAAAACTACCTGCTTTAGCAGCTACTGCCTAAAGAGAGCCTAAATTTAAAAGTTGTGCCTTAGCTGAGGATTAAAAGGACTCTCAGACAGAAGAAATTCCAGATGCTGAAATGGGCAAGTATGCTCAGCTGGCATTAATGCATTAATATTTTAGAGCCTTGTGCAGCCTAACATTTCCTGCTTTCACCAAACAGGAATAGTGCCTAAAGAAAAATAGCTCTCTTTCTTCCCTTCCTTCAATCATAAAATGACCAGGGTTGAAAAGGACCACAATGAACATCTCGTTTCAACCCCCTGCTACATGCAGGATCACCAAGCACCAGACCAGGCTGCCCAGAGCCACATCCAGCCTGGCCTTGAATGCCTGCAGGGATGGGGCATCCACAACCTCCCTGGGCAACCTGTTCCAGTCCTGTTCAACTCCCCCCAGCTTCTCATTTCATAGAGAATGATCCCTTTCCTACCTGTCCAGAAGAGTCAGCTAGTATCAAAGGGCCACAAAAAGCTTTCAAACACTGACTCTGCTGCTCACATCAAGGCACGTGGCACAATTTGCTATCTCTGACACTGACTTTTGTTTAGTAAGAGGCAGCTCAGCCCCAACACTCCTTTGGAAGATGAAGCTGCTTGACGGTCACAGGCAATTAATCTGAAGTTCATTCACAACTGCACTACCTTATAATGAAGCTGAGCTGGTTATACTTAGTGGCCCCTGAAGGAGAGAGATGGAGCAGAATAGAGATCCATGTTAGAGTCCAGAAGAAATTCAGATGATCATACCCTGACCTGGGATCCTTTGACTAAAAGCATACTGCCAAGACATCCACAATAGTTAAAAATATTTATATGTTAATGGTTTTCTAGCAATCTTCAGAATCAAACACTATTACCCACATCAAACAGCTTCATTTTGTCCAGCAGAGTACCACAACACTGGATTCAACTGACTTAGTCACTTCACAAAGGATTAATAGAGTTAAGAGTTACGGTTCCCTGGGAGAGAAATAACTGAATGCCCCTCAGAAAACACAAAGGGAACAAGCTACTGTAATACGTAGGAAGAGATCAGTGGAGCACCACTTACACCTGAGCCTGCTAATAACATGAGACAGTTCTTCTTTTAAAATAAGCAGGGAAAAACAAAAGCTCTGAGTATAAGAACAGCATCAGGATAGATAGAAAACCTTCAGTGATTCAAACAAAAAGCTCTTCTGGTTACATTCGTAGAAAAGTGAAACAGGGGGAGCTGTACAGCTTCATTGCTTCAGTTAGAATCAAGTGAGTTACAGATGAGAGCAAGAACTCCCAAACCAGTCCAAATCCAGCCAAAGCAGCCCACTTTCTCAGCAGGCTGCCCCCAGCCAGCACCAGCTGGTGCTCAGGGCAGGAGAACAGAATAAGGAGAACAGAGTCAGGAGAACAACACTGCTACACACTGCATTTGGTGTTTTTCTTCCCTACATCCTCCCTGTTTCCAGCAATACATTGCTTAAGGACTTCCCAGTTGTATCCACATCTACGTGCTTAATAGCCCATAATAAGCCTTTGTAGCATGAATTCATGGTATTGTTTGGGCTCATTTAAATGGCTGGCATTCACAGCATTCTGCGGCCGTGAGTTCCATAGTTGGTGCACTGTGTCAAAAAGCACTTCCTCTACAACCCACTATCTGATGATTTTGATAACACCACTTCATTTGTGGAAGAAGACTATAATAGTGAATATTGTTACGTTCAGTCTGCTAGCATAATTGTGCCTGCATGCCTTGTAATAGTTAGCAGAGCATATAATCTTTTGAATGTAGATGAAGAAACGAATGATTTAGAAGCATTAAAGAAA